TGTTCAACAGAATAAAGTAAAGTCAGCGTCTAGCACGCAATTATTTAGAAAGCAACGAAACAAGATAGTCTCGTTGATGTTCACTTAAAAAAAGCAGAGCCATGTGTGTACCTGAGTGTACTTGTAGTGAAACCGCTTTGCCGCGTAATCCACTATGATACCAGCAGGTGTCAACGTGGGGTTTACAATAAAGAATGTACATTCACTGATCAGAATCAATATTGTCATGAAAGCCAACAGCAAGGAGAGTAACTGAAAAAGTGATAAATCTGGGCAAGGATAGTGGTACAAGTTTCAGTGGGTGAGAGTTTGCGCTCTGCTCGCCATACGCCAATTCCACCAAAATGACTCAACAGGGTTTTAAAACATTCTTAATCGATAAACAAATTGGGTTCTAGTGAGTTCTCTATTTTAGAACTGCTTATATGGGGAAAACGGTGTAACAGTAACAGACATCGCATTATTACGGATTGTTCCCAGATTAAATATATACTGGATCTCGCTGGTTGGATAAATGATTCAGGAATCGGTGACCCGGTAGCGTAACATGGACCGCACTTGCCTTGTAAACGAGAGATGCAGATTCGAGTCCTGTCTGCGGCGGAAGCTTTGCTCACGCCCAGTATTCTTGTGAGAGTTAGGTGGGTATTTAGTAAGTACCTCTCAGAGACAATGATGAGCTGAAGTTCGTCAATGAGCACTGATGATCACCACATTTTTACGGCTTACAACTCACCCCACCCCTAACCGCAAATGACATGATTAACCATTAGTATTCCGAGCATATGCCGATATAAAGAACTCTGATGCAAATGAAAATCACCTTGCAAAGTGGACGCTGTGCTATGATAAGCCAAAAGTACTGCACTTTTTCTGGGAACAAAATGTGTGATTCTAATTCGAGCCTTCCGGTGATCTCTGCTTGAGCCAGATCTTCCAAAAATAAAGCGTGTTTGATGAGTGACCTAAACATTGCAATTTCAAAAACAATAATGTTATAGAAATGTTCTCACACTAACTCATTAACACCCGAGGAAAAACCACAACCATGCAACGCACACAATCGTGATATTTTCGCATATTGAAAGAACGCATTGAGGTATGCAAAATCCTGCTGCATCCCACTTTTCCACGAAAGATGGAACCGATGTAAATGCTAACATCTACTAGACCTTTAAAAGTCATGACTTTTTGTCATTCAATTAGGTCATTTTAATGTGTAGCTTAAGCTCACGTATCTAGGCATCCTTGCCAAAATTATGAATTAGCTTTGCGATTGTTATTACATGGACTTTAGCATTTTGCTTGCATCATGATAAAGACCACATTCGAAAATCAAGTTCATCTTTGATTGTCAATGAAGATCAATTAAATGCAATCTTTCGAAAACATTCCACTAGTCTACTTACAAGGGAAGGATGGTAGGTCGAAGTGGCCGTATAAAATGAGATGTATACCACCTGATGCGTCTCTAGACGCTGATTCCAAATCTGCCTTCCAAATCTGCTAAACGGCTCTCCGAACGGAGTTATGAAGCGTAATAGCTCAGTGGTGATGGTCCGGGGTGGCAGGTAAAAGCTCGTAGGATCGGTTCCTTTGCAAGTTTGTTGCTTTGCTTTTGTCCGCAACACTTCTAGAGACAAAAGCAAAGCAACCAATTGCAAAGGAACCGATCCTACGAGCTTTTACCTGCCACCCCGGACCATCACCACTGAGCTATTACGCTTCATAACTCCGTTCGGAGAGCCGTTTAGCAGATTTGGAAGGCAGATTTGGAATCAGCGTCTGGAGACGCATCAGGTGGTATACATCTCATTTTATACGGCCACTTCGACCTACCATCCTTTCCCTTGTAAGATACTTAGTCAATGGCGATAACGGACGAAGTTACACTTCAGGTGGAAATAAAAACAATTTTAATATTAGCCGCGAGCCTTCGCGCACTTGAAGTTTGTTGCTATGATATTTTTGATGCAAACAGTCTCTTCCACGAGACCGAGTCTGAATTAATAATGTATGCTAATAATTAACTTCTTGCGAGAAACTAAACGGAGTGAATCTTTGAAGACTACCTCCATTGGGCCGTGGTTCGATGATGGTACTGAACAGCGGAGATCACTTTCTTATGAAGTCGAATCTGCAAATTCCATGCTCAGTACATACTAGTAAATAAAACAGATGCAAAATTACCAGGTATTTGTCGGTGCTGACAGAGCTTACATCAGCCGCATTAAGGCTGCTGAATTCCATAGCATTACGAGCAGGAAACAGCTCACTGACCACATGAAATCAAACCATTTCAGTGTTTTTCTCAGTTACTGAACCACTAATCGCAATAGATTGAGCCATACCTCTTCCGGGAACTTCGACACTATTATTTGTGCTTTTTCTCTTGCACCGTGCTCGTTTTTCAAGATGTTCAGGACTGCGCGAGTCTCCCTGAAAAATGCCATAAATTTTCGCACTTCCATACACATAGGAAAACAGTCTAATGCACCTGTATGCTTCCTTCACGGCTTCTTCTGCTTCATTTTTATCAGAAGACAATTTATCGATATTAAAATATGTCACATGCAGTCGATACTCTTAATTGATGGAACAGTAACAGTAGACATGATACTGAACAGCGAAAATCACCAACGAACCTCTGCTGCCCATGTGCCATAACGTTCGTGGAAGTTCAACGAGTCCATGTCCGAGCAGGACAACCAACAAAAACAGACCCCATGTGTTCGATGCGGAGACAAGGATTACTTTTAAGTGTTCTCTAAAAAACGTAATAAATTTAGAAAGCCTCACCGAATCTTAGTCAGTAAAGTATTAGTGGTTAGACATGACCAATTTACAATCAGTGTTGTCTGGTGTAACATAGAAGCAACTCACCTATTGATTACAACACCTTTGATGATGGCATAGATCAAAAGTAATGTGAAGACAATCATGTATAATCCATAGTACACAGCGTTATTAAACAATGCGGCTCGAAGTTTACCAGAAGTTTTGAAGTCTCCAGCATTCACATAACTTTGCATGAACGGAAGTACAAGCCTGAATAGCATAACTTAAAATTAATTCCCGATTTGAAAGGAGGGGCTAATAGGTTTTAGAATGAACCATTCAGAGGATAATGGATAAAGCAGTCACCATTGACCAGCCCCGCTGCGAGAGGCAACAAAACTCGGTTTCACTCACCAGAAGACTTTAAGCACGTATAGCGCTTTTTCAAAATAGCTTTTTGATTATAAGGGACGTGGGTAGCATTAAAATGATGATATTTTCTGTGCGGCTCAAGAAGCGCTCCACGTCCTACACGACTCCCCTGTCAGAACCGTGGCGGCATTTTGGTGTGCTTTTGATCTGCATAATGACTTTCAGAAATTAGCTAATTTATAACATGTAGGAGTGTTTCTACGTTCGCATGCGGAATAGTTCCCAGAAAACTGACAAAGAATGTGCTTAATTGGCCTGAGCAGTGCTCGAGGCGAAATCGAATAGCGGAACATGAGTGGCCAAGGCCACTTATCACCACCCGTTACAACGCTGACCATGGGAAAGTAAGAGAACGTCGTTGATGGTGGCTGCAAGGACGAAAACGAACACTCATGACTAATTTCAAAGCCAAAGAGAATTTATCAAGAACAAAGATGTGTGCAAGGTCCAGGCATCCCTTTGTAAAAACGTCACTAAGCTCTCGGCAAATTGTAGCCGCAGTGGTCATTCGGCAGTATTTAAATCGTAAAATATTGCAATTGTGTTGTATCGTTTCAATCTTTCACACATTATTTGTCCTCGCAAAAACATCAATCATTTTTGTAAGTTCTACAACAGTATCCAGAAAGCATTTAGTCTTCACTTATGATTCAGAACACATGTATATGTAACGTCCAACGTCCTAGGAACCATTTCGAAAGTATCTTCAAATTAACCATAACGTCTATCCGTCAAGATAACTAAAAAATGTAGCTTGAAGAGAAGAAACCCTTCAATGAAACAGCGAAATCTGAATCATCACTTAATCACAAAAAATACAAGGGTATTCCAGAGTGACAGATAGGATCATCATGCCAA